TGACTTTGCTACCCTGTGCAACATACACAACAGTCCCTATCTGGCCTGTTATTTCCAACTCCTACAAGTGTTTCTCATATTTTCCAATAGTGCATTTGCACTACAGGTTCCCTTGTGCCCTGCTGAGGGATTGAGAACCTCAGTCCTTCTGTGGAAGAGCACATCTGGTTCCCAGATTGTAATGCACATACAACCTCAGGAAAATCTCTTCAAGTCAAGTCTGAGTTCTATGACTCCAGTCATCACTGCCTCTGGATCCCTTAAACCAAGAACAGAGCTTCTTGTTTTCTCAGTCAAGTATGAACAGTTGCAGGTTTGTTCATACTTGACTGAGTAACTAGTGTTAGTTACTCAGCCCAAAAAAGAAAAAGTAGCATTATTTAAAATGGAAAGTGACCATAGCAGCCAGGTAAACAAGAAAGCTATATGAAATAAAGCCAGACAGGAAGACAGTGTACGTTTGTCTGCTCCTGCTCTTTGCAGTAGGCTTCAGACAGGGTTATGTATCTCAAAGCCCCCAGTAAGATTTAAAAAAAAAAAAAAAAAACACAAACAATGAGTTCTATTCCAGGCTCTGAAGGTAGATCCTTACTGACCCAAGCAGACAGCAGAATGTATCTGGTGGTGGTGGCGATGGTTCATGCATTGTCTGAAATGAGAATGGTTCTAATGTTCACATTAGTAGGTTTCTACCTGCCTCTTTTGTTTTGTAATATTTACTTTCTGTTCATAAAACACTGGCAGTACACACAGTGTACTATCATGTGATTCCTTGCAATGGGAGTGTAGAAGGACTCTGGTTCTCAGGATACAGTCATTACTCTGTCCAGGCGCCATCTGACAGACTGAAGGTGATGTTTCCTTTCAGTTTAGTTATGCATAAATTTGCATTTTACCTTGACAGTGGTTTTTAATTGCTGAAAGGAAAAAAGAACAGATGTCTCGCAGATTTCACTTCTCATTTTTCTAAACTTTGGGCTCATCCCTCCCACGCTGTTGATACACATCAAGATATACCGCAGCCAGCAGCTATAAAATTCCATCATTCTCTTTTACCTAGTCTAGAATGATGAAATTCTGTATTCACTGCTAATCTCAATGGTTTCAGTCATCCAGAAATAACACACAGAATATCATTTATCCTTCCTGAGGTGCTTCTTCATGCTTGCAGAGCCACTATCTCCAAGCACAGCCCCAGTAGGATACATGTGCTTATTCCCCAGAGGGAACAGGATCTTACAGAAGAACGCTGTGCCACAAACACAGATGCCAGTCCAGACATCTCCACTGAGTTATGGATTTGCCATTCTTCACTACTGGGAGTCATAGGTTGCTCTGAGATTGGCAGGTAAATTTTTAATTCTCCTTGTAATTGCAAAGCAGTCTGCCAGAAAATAGGAATCCTTCCTGTTGGGTTTCTTACAGGGAATACCCCCATCTGACATTTTCCTTTCAGGATATAATTATTTTCCCTAACAGGATGAAACAAAATACCAAGTATATAGAAAAGCTACTGCTTCCCAAATATGTTCTTTTCAAAATTAAACAATGGCTGAACTATGGGCTTCCCCTCCCTTACATTCTCTATTTTTTAGACAGAAATTTGTTACTAATAACAAGTGCTCTTAAAGTGTCTCAATCCTGTGTGCAAGATAACGTGTGTATATAAAGTAAAGTAAAAAAAATCTTTAGTTTTGCAGATTTATTTTTTTTTTAAGTGTTGTCATTATTTTCCATCTAGAAAGAGCTTTCAGAGTATCAGGAACTACTAGTCCCAGGCTGAGAAGGGACAAAGTCCAGAATGAACTCTCCTGAGCAGAAGATGGAAGAAGGTGGTTTTAAACTCTTGGCTCGCTCAGCTGTGTGGTCAGACACAGCAAGCTAAACTTTGTTTAGTGACTGGTGTGACTTCTTCCTGTAACATGCCTTAAAAAGGGAAGTTCTGACTGAGGTAGTGGTTTAGCTGTGAGTCATGCAAGTGAAATGTTACATCTGTTTCTCAGACAAAGGCAAATCTAAATTCTTGAAAGTAGTCTTACCCCTGAGGCTCAGTGAGCTTTGTCTTTGCTAGTGAAAGGAACAAAAAGAAATGGAAAGACTGTTTTTCCAGTCTTCTTAATCAAAAAGTCTCCCTGCTAAGTTTCCTCCTAAGAAATTACAGGGACTGGAGTAGGGAGTGACATGCAGAAAATGGTCTAGGAAACATCTTTTTAATTACACTCTGTTTGGTACCATGGAGATCTCAGGAAATGGCAGTTTTGGTGTTTGACAGTTGCACAGCAGGTTCAGCACCTGAGAAGCATTTTGTCTTTTCCAATTAATCTTCCACAGGGCGCTGACCTTTCTCTCCTGAGCCATATCTATCTTTGTATATCCTTCCCTTGGTAAAAACCATTGTCGTGAATATGTGTTCAAGTATTACCTTGAAGAATGCTCAGTCCTAGTAATTCACAAGATGCTTAATATTAAAAATCTAGAAAACACAGAATATTAATAGCCAGTACAATCAGCAGCAAATCCCACATGCCTGTCATCACAGACCTGGCAAAGCCACGTTAATTATAATTGTTTTGTTGCTATTTAACAGAATGTGCTCTTGAGCAACAGTCTTTGGCACAAGAGTAGTACTGGGGCAAGAAGGATGGAGGGGAGGAGAGGGATCATAATAGCTGAGATGGATATCTGCCTGATAAGACAGTGACTGGATAGTGATGCACCAATGAATGGGCAGCAGACCCATGGAGTCTGCCATCTCCAAGTAGGCTGCGTCTGTGTGGCAGAGTAGCTAGATGCTATTCGTATATTGATGGCTTGTTTTTTCATTTTCGTAGCAACCACTGCAAACTGTTATTTGTAGGGCTTTCTAGTCTCAGTTACACAGGACCTGCTAACAGTAAATGCTAGTAGCTCTGTTAACCCTAAATATTTGAGTCAGATTTTAAAATAATGTTTAAATTGGTAACTGAAAATACTAAAAGTTCTCATTAAAAGTTCATGTAGTCAAAGCTGGAAGCAAGGCTCACTGTGCCCTCTAGTGTGCACAGTCTGTAGCTCCATTGTCCTCTCATGATGGCATGAAGGAAATGAAGCTGTTTTTTCTAGCAGTGGATTGGCATGCCAGATTTCTGCATGTCCTCCACAACACAAAGATTACAATTACAAGGCCTGCTGTACTTTGGCTGACATGGTACCCAGAGGAAAGGCATAAACACAGTTGTAGTCTGATGGGAACTGACACCATACATGAGCTGATGTATCACCAGATCAAGCATGCAGGTTACAAGTGAGGAAAGAAAGATTCTGTGCTCTGGTTTCGTCTTGTCCTAGATAAAGTTCCTACAAAACAAAACAAAACAAAAAAACCCAGCCAAACAAACAAACAAACAAACCACCATCCCAATCTACAACTTGTTGAAGGTGTTTCTAGCAGGTTTACAAGTGGCAGAGATGAATGCTATTCCCCTTACCTCTACAGTGTTTGTCCTGTCAAGTTCTGAACATAGCTGGAGTCCTAGATCTTTAACTATGTATGGGGCAATACTGACATCTCCCATGTTCTCTCTTTGTCTCAGGCCTGGTCTTTGCTGGCAGTCTCATCCCCATATTGCTCTTAATAAGTTTAGTCTGATGATCCACTCTTTGCTGTTCTTTATGTCACTAAATTTGTCTACATGCAGGTAACTGTGCCACGAGTTTCAAGTCCATTCAGCAATACAGTCACAGGAAGAGGTTAGCTACAGTGTCTGAGCAGCCCCCTCAATGATTCAGTAACTGCACAATGCTGACCTATGAATGTCCAGAACATGAAGGCAATGCAGGGGTGCCGCTGGCTGCTGCAGAGACCACTGATTCTCTCTACTGAAATAAGGTGGTGGGAGGGTATCCTGCAGTTCAGTTGAGTGCAGCATGCATCATGAGATACTGTTTGTAGGCCATGCCTGCAAGGTTCTTAGCCTCCAAGTCCTAGACACACTACTCTTTTCATACAGAATCATCTTCTTTTAATATCTGATGTAATTTGTCTGGTTCTGTGATCTATCCATTTTCAAGCAACTCTTCTCCAAGTCTTCTCATCAAAATGCAATGATAACATTAGCCTTTAAAAGCTGCCAACACCTCATATTCTGACACGTGCATCAGTAAGTTAAAGGAGAAAAAAAAAAAAAAAAAAAACAAAAAAAAAAACCACCCAGTAATGTTACTGGAATATGCCTGGCCAGCAGGCAGCAAAGTAGCTCCTTATCACAAAAGGAAGAGGCCACACTCCAAATCACTCAGCTGTAGACAAGCTTCATTCTCTGCAGTGACCAAGCTCAGAACTATTGCTGAGCTTATGAGCTCCTCCAGGCTGTTCTTCCAACTCATTATTTTGCCAGAGGGTGCAAACTCATTGTTTCATTCACTTCCTCTAACAGCTTGCAAGGGGTTCCTCCAATCATCCTCTTCTTTCCAATAGTTTTTTTCCCCAGCCAAAGCACTGATTTCAGAGGACTATCACACTCCAGTGCCTGTACCTTTCCTGAAGATTTTCAGCTATCCTTTTTTATGTACTGCCAGGCAACTGAGAGAGCATAGCTGTCAGATAGCTTTTTAAATTCCACCCCTACATATCAGTACAGCAGATTTCCATCCCCAGGTTTCACAGAAGTAAGCAATGTCTCTAGCAATGTTGGATTTTTTTTTTTGCCTTATGTTCCTCACCAAAGAGCTGTAGGATGGTTCTGGATGGTATGGTTTATGTTCTTCTTGGAATGAGCTGCCCGTGGGACAGGAAATGGGAAGTGGAAGTCTTCTCATTTGTTTTCATGAGATTCTCCAAGAATTCTGAAGAAATCATTGGTCTCCTCTTGTGGTGAGAGAAACTTTTTTTGTATAACAGGTGTTCTTTGTGAGAACCAAAGACTATTTTCACTTTTAAATGTGTGCTTTTGACAAAACAGGTAGCAGACTTTGGGAAGAGAAACCTTCTGAAATTCTTGTCTGATTCTGATTTTTCATAGGACTCTATGTACTGGTGGGAGCAGGGGCTCTCATGACCACTGTTGGATTTTTTGGGTGCTGTGGAGCAGCGCGGGAGTCTCAGTGCTTACTTGGAGCAGTAAGTAAAAGGTTTCAAGCGCCTGGGCTAAACAAGAAAATCATCCAAAAGTATATACCTTCTGTTAACAGTAGAAAGGTATTTACTGTCCAAGACCTAAAATGTCCTATGTCCTTTTACTGGCTAATCTAGCATCTCTAGCCACCATGCTGTTGCAGAGATTGCATATGTGAAGAAGTTCTCTTGCTTGTCTCATGTGATACATTTCCTGGAATTATCTTCTGTCTTTTCTGAAGCTACCATGTGAGTGACAGCTGAGCCACATCTTTGCCATTTCCACATTTGTTTCCATATTACAAGAAATCTGTCTTGACACCCTTGTTACAAACCCTGCTTACGAACTTTCTTTCAGTTACTGTGTGGGCTGTTGAGGCCTGGGGCCTCATCCCAAGGACGAGGGACTGACTGACAGTCCATATAAAGCAGAACTGTGCAAGGTATATTAATGTAATATTCTCTTCTCCCTCTGCAGTTCTTTGCTTGTTTGTTGGTGATATTTGCAGCTGAGGTCACTGCTGGAGTGTTTGCCTTTATAGGCAAGAAAGTGGTAAGTAGCAAGCAACTTCTCATGTCATAATGGGGCAGCCATGGATTCTAATGCTGACTGACCTACTGTCTGGCTTTTGCACTGGAAAACTTGAAAGGATACCTTTTCCAGGAAGACTCTGACTTTCTTATCTGGAGTCCATGAAAACTTGTGCTATCACAAGTCCAGAACAGGGTGCAGTTTTTGCTCTTCTACAGAAAATCAGAAAATCTTTAGGTGTGGTTCAGCCTTACATCCACTAGGAACATCAAACAGAACTATATAATAAAATGCTATTGTTTGGGAAGAGGGCAAATTCAAGCACTAAACTTCTCCAACTAACGCTTTTTAACCAAAACGCAGAATAAGGCATATGTACATTCAGACTCATGCAGAGTCCCTCTGAATGCCACCAGGCCACAAAACCTCCTGTCTTTCCCATCATGGGACTTCAGTTTACTAGGCATAATTTTCTGCTCTGGAAGTTGATGACACAAACAGGAAGTCTACGCTGGATTGGGGGTCAGACTTATTTCCCACTCACCTGGAAAGTCTGATTTCTGCAGGCAATACAGGAAGCCCAGAAAATCTATGAAGACGTTTATGATGACTACATGAAAAACCCAGAGGGAAAGGTCAACAGCACTATCTACCGCTACCACTTGGCTGTGAGTCGTCCTTCTGAAAGTTAATACCTTGCACTACTACTACTGTCACATTACCTCTTAAAATTCAGAATGCCTTCCACTGAGGTATGAAAGAATAAAACTGAGCATTACTTAAAGTAGAGCCAAAGGCTCACAACCCTGTTTTCCTCTTGGCTCTGTCAGAATTCTGGTTTTCAGATCCCAAGTGATCCCTACCTTTCAAAGTGAAAATGGCCAGCCCTTTAAACTTCAGCTGATGTTCCTCATCTTTGTTGTGCAGAAGATTACTATTATGGCCATTTTGGATATTAAAATCCAAGAATAAATACTCACAAATGCAGAGAGAGTTAGAAAGGTCTGAATCGCTCTGCATTTTTTGGAGAAAAAACTGTGACCCATGTCCCAGGACCTACAATGTGACAGATGCTGTCACTGACTGAACCAAGTAGGTTAAGAACCAGAAGGACACGTGTGACTCGGTTCAGGCCACCCAAAAAAGTTAGAGTCTGAATCAGAATTAGAACCTGTGACTTCTTGAATCTTATTCATGTCCATCCTGTATCTACACTGCCTCCCACAGAGATCAAGTGCAAGCTTTGTTGCTTTTTACAGCATTCCCACGTTCTTTAGAACAAACATTTCACAACCTCAGACCCTTTTGTCCTTCTCCCGTAGCTGTTTTTTTTTGACCCAAAGAGAAATTCCAAGCATTTTGTGGGAGACAGCCAAACAGGAAAAACAAACAGTCTGAAACACTCTGATTTATTACTGTCTCCAAAACCAGCACTATGTTTTGTCAGAAATAAAGATCTTAACATTTTTTGTCGTAGCTTTTGTGTGTTGTCCATAATTCTGTATGGACTATTTGAACTCTCTGCTTTCTCCCTTTAACAGCTGTTTCCCTGTAACTCAGGAAACTACTTTTCCAAAATAAATTTGTTTGCTTTGTTATGAGATAATGTGATATAAATCCCTTCTGGAAGTTGTTTTTAACTCAAATTTGTCTCTTTGTTGTGGCTTCAGAAAATTGAAATTGATTTTTGAAAATTTTGGCCCACACAACTGGAACTCTACCAGAGGCAGCAGTTACTATGGGTAATAGATTAATTACTCAATCTGTATTGTTTCCTTGATTTTTCATCTCTCTCTCTCATTTAGCTCCAATGCTGTGGTAAAGGTAATGTGGAACAACAAATGGGATTACCCTGCCCAGAGAATATCGAGATGCCAAAGGCAAGTGTTCTGGTTCACAAAATCACTTTTTCCTGTCAATTGTTTAGTAGGATTGGAGAGATTCCATAAGAAAAAGAAAGGAGGAACTTTTTACCTTGCAAATTCTGTCATGAAATTCCTTATGAAATGGAGCAGAGTGGAGGCAGAAGTTGCAGGTCACATGGAACATGCCCAGCCCTCATTTCTGAAGCCTGATTGTAGCATCCCATGGTAGCTGAGACATTATTACATCATCTGAAAAGCGGGAAGGACATAACAGAACAGAAGCCCTAAATTAAACATCCTGAAAAGCTGAATTTTGGCAAGGGCCTGCCTTAATCCTGCATAGAGGCTCCAGACTAGAAAATGCCAGTGTCAAGAAGATACTGTCATTTCCCTCTTTTGTGGAATCTGCTTGAGAGTACAATGTCAATCTGAAGGGCCAAACTTCCTCATTTAGCATGGCCTATCTTATAAATGGTTCTAAATGTAGGGAAATTACTTTTGTGTGTCAGCTTGAACAGGCAAGAGGTACAGATATTTCACTAGAAAAGGGAACATGCTGTGAAAGTTGTCCAACAGAACACAAGGCACAGATGCAAGCATTAGTACAGTGACTACAATAATATTTTTCACGTTTATCTGTTGTTTAGTGACAATAGCTGACAGAGTTGGTTGGAGTATATTTTTGTAAGAGTAAAAACCTTTCAATTTTCTCTTTAACAGAGCTGCCTGGTTGAAATCCAGAATGTAATTGATGCTAATCTGCATTTAGTTGGAATTGTTGGAATTGCAATTGCTGGCATCACAGTGAGTAAATCCACATTCACCCTCTCAAACCTGTATTTGAGCCCAGTACCCTGCATGTTACTCAAGGCTTTGTGGAAGGTGTTTCCTGGTGAGATTCCTCCAAGGTGCAGCCATTCTTGTAACTTTTAGTGCGTCCTCCCTCTGGGAATTGCCCACATTAGGGCAAGCGGACTTGCATGACTTCTTTTTACCAGTTCATTTTGTGTCCTTAGAAAGAGAACAAAGTATGAAATGCTAATCTTATTTTATTGTAATATTAGCAAAACAGAGTACACACGAACCAAACTGAAAAGCAAAAGTCTGTAGCAGCATTTCACCTATTCCAAAACAGCTGATGCTTTAGGCCATCTAAGGATCCGTTCCTTAGATTTCATAAGGAATAGAGAGCAGCTACCCTTTGTATAGAAATGGTTTTCCAGGAAAATGCTGGCTGTAGCACTGGTTCAATGTGATACATAGTTTATAAACAGATTTTCTAGGTCACATGTCCAGTGATTAGTACATATTTTCTTAAAGGAACAGGATTTAAGCTGCATAGTTTTCAGAACAGCATTTCCTTCCTAAATGAGTAGCACCTAGTTACAGATAGCTGTTTAATCAAATTATGTCATCAAAGCATCAATAACTTTCCTTACAGTCCACCTTCTCCCACAAGTGTGTATTGTATTCCTAAGGTCTGCTCCTCCATGACAGAGCTGTGACCAATAGATGTCACCCTGCTGCAAGGATATGGCAGGAGTGGGCAGCCTGTATCAAATGCAGGCTTCAACAAAAAGCATTTTCCAGCATGTGTGTGCCATGACTTCCTTCAGACTCAGAACAGTAGCATGAGGAGCCAGAATATTAGTAAGGAAATACGCCTTTAGCTGCTCTGAAGAGTAGGAGGTTCATGGACTTATATGGACACTTAAAAGCAGATGGGTTTATGTATCTAACAGAAACGATGGTGTGGGTAAAGCAGATTAAACAATCCTGTGATTTGTATAAAACATGAAGGTGTACTCAGAAGTATAGGAAAGCAACATAGGTGGGACAGAGTTTCAATAACCTCATTGCTCAACAAGGATACACTAGAAATATGAACAACTCTTCTAAGGCTTCCCACCTCAGATACAGGAAGTTAGGAAATTATAACCTCTTTAGCAGCAGAAACATGTCTGTACATTTTTCCGTGCCTGCTTCTGACACTTCATGGGGCATGACTGGTCAGCATCTCCTTCTTTCTTAGGGAGGTGTGTGGGGAGGGGATATAAACTCAGCAGTTTAACTGCATGAGAGTACTGCTCATCTCCCCTCATTAGTAATGAAGCCTCAGGAGATAGCTACTGACTGCTCTGGAGAATCAGCTTGTGGCAAAATCCCAAATTTCTGGAGACTCTGGCAACACTCACTGTTCTCTGGTTTTAACATTCCTTCTTGTTAACTAGTTCCCCAACATGTTTTATATTTAACTTATAGTCTTGGTCTTGAGTAGTAACTGTTAGGAGCTTAGCTTCCTCTCTAAAACTGCAATGCTCAGTACCAGTTCCAGAGAACTGGTTCCTCTGGAATCCTTCTTGGCTCTTACTCAAATGTGCATACAATATTCCACGCAGAAGCATTCTGAAACTCAAAAACTTTTGGTGCAATACTAGGCATAATACCAATAGTCACAGTTACTGATGTTAGCAAAATTGATGTTAATAGTATTGTTTGGGGCAGTTATACTGGCCCTAACGTTTAGAACAAAGACCAGTGAAACTAGTGTGAGCAGATAAAAACTTGGCTTTGAGTATCAGTGAAATCTCATTTACATTTATTGTCTGATACCTTGAGGTTTGTAGATGGAAGCAGTCACTTGCTACTCTGCCCTGAGAACCTTCGGGTTGTTCTGATGTGCAGACTATTTAATAACTGTTTTGTAAGTGGATCTCTAAATTGCATCCCTTTTCTTCTAGATCTTTGGCATGATATTCAGCATGGTTCTGTGCTGTGTGATCCGTAACACAAGAGACATGATCTAAAACTTTCACTGCACAACTATGTTCCAGGAGTTCCAGACTAAACTTTACAAGAAGTGCTCTTCTACCCAATTTAATAATTGTAATGTATTTTAATTAGTGCTTTAACATACTGAGAGGAAAATATCCCATTAGGTAAGCAGATGAATTGTATTAGTTACAGTAAAACCAAAGTAAAAAAATAGGGGTTTAAAATGTCCTTCTTAATGAAAACAGCAAAGGTGCATCTAAGACTAATTTGATTTTTAATGTTTGTATATGTGCAATTAAGAGATTATACATCTATAGACATGGTGGAAGCACATTCATATCTCTCTTTACAAATATTTATGCACATGAGCAGGTACCCATATATGCAGTACCTTGTATAGGTAAGTATGTGCAAATGGAATATGTTATGTGTGTATGTTTGCAGGCATATTCTTCCTGCAAGAGTGAAATTCTCACTATGCAAGAGTGTACACACACCTATAGGTATATAGTGCTTGAAACCTTTTCATACTGAGCCCATTTGCCAAGAACTAGCAGAGGAACAAATGCCATTGTAAAAAGTGAGGCCTATAATCCCTTTTTTAACTGTTCTTTCCAAAGCCCAAACAGTAGAATTAATAAAATTGGAATTTAAAAAAAAAAAAAAAAATTAACACCAACACAACAACAAAACAACCACACCCACCACCACACTTGAACACCCTAAGGGCCTGCTGCAGCAAACTTTAATTCATGTGAGTAGACCTACTGACCTCACTGTCATGCAGAGACTGGATTTTGTCTTTTTTAGGACTGGACCACTTCATGCAAATGCAGAAAGCTCTGGGGGAGGAAACATGTCCAAGGAGAACCAGCCTAAAGGAAAAGGGGGAAGGAGGTGGGAAGCTGGCAAGATAATGCAGTCATTTGGGAGCAATTGCAGTGCAAGGTGTGCTTGAGCTTCCCAAGCCAGCTTGAGACATGCACCAAAAAAAAAAAAAAATCTATGAGTTAAAAGGGTCACTAAAATCTTTATTCAGATCAAGTCACTTTATCCTGCAAGTCTCTATATGGTATATATGCTGGTGCAGGAGTGGAGCCTATATCCAGAAAAGCAGCAGCTTTGTCAGATACTCTAGAATCTAGCTGGCTTGTGGAAGCCAACCGAAGAGTGAAAATGGTCAGGGAAAGACACACAGCACTTTAATATCCTCTGTTTCTGCTTCTGTGACTATCACAGCTTCCGTGGGACTCTTACCTCAACCTCTCACCCTTTCTTGCAGGTATAAGGCAGGAAAGAAAGATGGGACATTCTTACAGTCATAAAGTAAATTTTCTTACTAGTACCTTTAGATTGCATGTCAGGTATAAAAATTACACTGTGTGCTTGAAATACCTCAGGGCTTGTGTTTACATAGTTTGTTTCTATATTTTTATTTTTCTATTTGTCCTATTTATTCATAAGAGAATGTTCCTTTTAAAACAGCATACAAGGGAAAAGGGTTGTCACCAGAAGGGGAAAATAAATTACATCAGAGGCTCAGAACCTCCTCCATTTTTGGCTTAATCGAAATAACTCACCATTTCAGAGAACAGCTTTTTGCTAATATCCACATAGCAGCTCTGTTTCTCTGATGATCACTAGTTCAGATCTATGGTGCATTTGTTCCGTACATGATGGGGAAAAGTTAACCTAAAATACATACCTGACTGAAATGGTCCATAATGTCTTAACAGGACTTGGTATTTACAAGTCATGGGAGTTCCATTCCACTGTAACATGATGAAAAGAAACAGGATTTCAGAAAATGTGTGCATTCTGGTGCACACTTTTGTGCAGAATATACAACCCTCACGATATTTCTCTCTCATTTCCCAAAGAAACACAAACTCCCATCACTTTTCTATTACTTCAGGGTTGGAAATACTCTTGTTGTTCCATTAATCCAATTTAATTGACACATATTGCTGTCTTTTACATAGATTTCTCTTTTCCAATTGTTCAGCCACAAACTGTGACACTGAGACAGCTGTGCACTAAATGCTGGGCGTGCAGCAGGCACTACCAACTGAGCAGTTTCCAGGCCTAGCTTCAGGTACCCACCTGACAGGGAGACATTATATCCTATGCCTAAGAAGAGTTAGGCTTGTATCACTCCATTCACAGCTGATTAGCTATGGATGCCATGTAAAGTAGGGCCTGGCACCCTATTCTGCCAGCATCACACCTGTAAATGGGCCCCGATCTACCATCTGCTCCTAAGAAAGGCTCAACTGGAAGAATGATACTGGCAGAAAATCCATGAGGGTCTCAAGCTGAAACTAAGAATATAAGTTATTCACAGCAGACCACTGGCATAGCCAAAGCAATGTGTGCCTGGATCCCAGGTACACTTGAAGACTGTCCCTGCAATTGGTTCTGCTCTAAATAGATAATGGGATAGTATACAACTGGTGTGTTTTCTCCCAAGGTAATAGTGACAGAAAGAAGAAACCGATATAGAGTGTCACTTTTGCCATTCAAGGCAAGACAGCTTTCTGGGAAAACCAGTAAAAATAGCACCCTAGGGAAGCCAGTGGTTCAGGTTCTAAGATTATTGCCCTACAGAGATAGCAATTTATTGCAAATAACACTATTTTCTTCTGTTACACTGGCCTTTGTAATGACAGTATTTTATGTATTTTAAACATATATACAGATAATTGGGTGTAATTCCTCAAATTTACTTATTTGCTTACTGTTTCTCAAGTTGGAAACTCCTGCTTCTGGGATGCGCTGAATAAAAAGGCAGCTCAGAGAAACTTCTGTTGTTCCCCCAGCCCCTCCTTCCCTCAGAAGTACAAAACCATCTAAGTGCCTTACGAAAACAGGGAAGAGTGGCACAAAGAAACCTTTTATAATTTCAGACTTGAACAACCTAACTTTCTGCTGAAATGTTTTGGGCTTGTGGGTTTTTTTCTTCCTCTGAACAGTGCATTTCTTTTTCTGAACATAATTACTGATTGTACTCCAGGTTTTTCTGCTATTTAGGTGTGCAGGATGCTCGCACTTCATATTATGAATAGAACAATAGCAGCTACTGGTTTAGTTCTCTCTAAGTTATTGGTATAGTTCAAGCTGGAAATCGATGTTATGCACCTACTAGTGCCCTTAGCAGAATCCACAGATAAAGCCTTTCATGTTGGTTCCTGATGTTGTCTGCTGTGTAATATATTTGCAGTCTTCTCTGCATCTTAGTAACTGAAGGTCTTTTTTAACTCATTAAGGGACAGAAAATGCAGCTGTTCTTTGCCTGTCAAAGCTGTGAGAATTCCTTCCTGTTGCTTTTACATCATAGCTAGTTAGCAACTCAATTTGCATTGACTAGCTTGAGCAGTCATTTTTAAATGCTCAGATGTCACAGGCAGGCTTATGGCTATAAAAACTGGATATTTAGTGCCCACAGTTTAGTATGCTGCTGCTCTTTCATTTCAGCTCCTGAAAGTGCAAAATCTTTCATCTTTGTCAGCAGTACAAAAATAATTTCCAAACAACTACACCATGTGTCTTTAGTAAGAAAGCTTTTCCAAGGTAACTAAATCCAAACCAGTATCTAAACTTCCTCAAAGACAGTTCACACTCCAGAGTTGCATGCTGGGATTTAATTAACAAACTCCAATGCCTGCAGGCACTAGACACAGTAATAGCAACTGCCATACAGGTCAGCAGAAATTCCCATTTAGTCCTGTCCCTTCTCCCTGTTTCAGAGAAGAACAAGAAATGAGCAAATCCCTCCAGTGATAATTCTGAAAGCGCATCACACACATTTTCTTCTCCTGTCAAACAATTTGTTATAAAGCATAAAGATGTAAATTAATGATGCCCTTATTATATCTCTAGACACCATTATTCACATGTCCCCTGTCTAATTTTTCTAAGTAACTGACTTCAGTGGGAGTTTCATTTGTTCTAGGAAAACCTCAGCCAGTTTTGGTATCTCACAAAGACTGCACAGGAGCTGATGAAGCACAGCCCCATAATATCCCTACAATGAAAACTCATATTTCACTTGTCTTCATACTGAAAACAATAATTTTATAGCAAAATATATTTCATATGTATCGTGAAAAAAAAAAGTTTTCTTAAGGGTCTTCAGATGCTGTGGTTTACAGCCTTTGGAGGCTACTGATCAGCAGCATCAGATGTTGTTCATAGAAAATGTACACAAATAAAGCTTTTCAATCGTACTTCTTCCTCTGTATTGCTGCTCCACTAGGTTCTTCAAAACACATAAGACTTCCAATATAACATATTTGTTTCTATAGCATAAATTCAGGTTCTGGACAGAACTGGTGTATCGGTTTATGCTGCAAAGTCTGTAGCAGAATTACCTCTATGGCAGCTTTCTTTGAGAGAAAAACAAACAACTTGATCTGTTGCTGAAACTAGCTTTCACTTCCCTTTAGTCTAATGTATTCTTAAGTAGTGTTTTATCAGCTTTTCTGTCTTGAATTTGAAACAACTTTCTAATAAAAATAACCCGAAATAAACGACTACCAGAAAGAATTCGTCTCCGTGCCCTCCAGCGTACGCTGCCAGCAGCAGACCCCAGGAACTCCACGATTTCACTCCCGGGAGGTTCCACAACTTCCTTTCCCCCCGCGAGACCCTCTCAGCACGGCGGCGCTGCCTTCGCCTCACCTCTGCATCCCGGCGCGCCTGGTCCGGGCACCAGCTGAGGCGGCGGTCCCGAAGTCC